AGAACCAAGACCTGGCATGTAAAGGTACAAGATCCCAGTAACGAATGTAACTGTACTGTCTACCTAGAATGTACCAATAAATTCAATTTAAAATTTTAAAAAAACTGGGTAAAGAAGAGCTACATTTGAAAAAGAAATTAATGGGCCAGGATTTAGCTCAGTGGTGCCCCACCGCCTGCCTTACAAGTGAAAGGTCCAGAGTTCAATCCCTAGAACCGATAAATAAATAAATAAATAAAAGAGCAAAAATCAATGAAGTTGAAAACAAAAGGTTAAAGAAAATCAATGAAACAGAACCTGGCTCTTCTAAGAGATCAACAGGCTCTAGTAAGACAGAGAAAAAAGGAAGACACAAATGATCAACATCTAGAACTGAATCAGCCATTACAGACCCTGCAGAAATCAAAGGGAAAATAGGAAATACTGTGGACTACTTGATACAAATAAATTCCACAACATGAATGATAAGGGAAAATTCCTTGAAAATATTTTATTCTTTATTGCCCAACATAACATAGATAATTTGAATATTCTCCATAAACACAGAGGAAATCAGGTTCATAACTTACATGTTAAGAGCTTTATATAAAAATATCTTTGGAACCTAGTGCTAGACAAAGAGTTCTTAGACTCAACATGGTCAAATCATGAACCAAAAAAGAAAAAAAATGACAAACTGGATATTATGTTTAAATTAAAAATTTTTGGTCTGCAGAAGTCTTCCCTGTGAAGAGAAAAAATGAGCTACCAAGGGAAGAAAATATTTGCATGACACTCCGAGGAGTATTATCTAGAATGTATAAAGAACACGCGAAACAGAACATTTAAGAAAAACAAGCCAGTTTTAATGAAGCAAATGATATGCGCAGCCTCTTCTCCAAAGAGAAGAAGAAAATGTTCAACACCATTTGCCATTATGGAAATGGAGACCATGATGACCACTCCACATTTAGCAGATTGGCTAATATATATATACGGAAATAGCAGGCGTGGCGGCACACTCCTGTACTCTCAGAAGCTGAGACAGGAGGATCACAAGTTGGAAGTCAGCCTGGGCAACTTGGGGACTAGGTGTGTAGCTCAGTGGTAGAGCACCGGCCTTCCATGTGTCAGTACCTTGGTTAGCCCACCACCACGAAAAAATATTTTGTGATGTAAATGCCATTGCCAGTGCAGAGCACATGCTCACGTGCTGCTAGTGGGAGTGTAAAATTACACAGCCATCCTAAAAAGTCCTGCGGCGGTTCTTAAAAAACAAAACATGCAGATGCTATGCAAAACATAGCAACTGAATTCCTAAGTTTTAATCTCAGAAAAATGAAAATCTACATTCACTCAAATACCTGGACATGAAGGTTCATAGTAGCTAAAAACCGGATCCTACGCATCTGGACTTTAATTGGTGAGTGGTTAAACTGCTAACCATCTGTAAGTATTCATAACCATATTGCTAAATACTACTCAGCAATTAAAAAAGTAACCTGCTGGTATCACAGTAGGAACCAGTTTCAAAGGTCACATATGTACTATTTCATGTATGCAAAGTTCTTGAAACTAAAAAAAGTTTTAGGAATGGAAACCGAGTCAGTAGTTGACCAGGATTAGAACTGTGGGGGAGGTGGGCGCTGTACCCAGCTGGGTCTGTGCTGCGTCTGGACTCTATCAATGCATACATCTGGGTTTCAACAGTGTGCGTTTTCCAACACGTCACCATGAAGGAAAGTCACTACAGGGAATGTAAGATCCCTATAGCTCTCTGTGTTATTTCTTCTAACTGTATGAGAATCTGCAATGATCACAAAATACAAGTTGAAATAAGAGAATGAACCAACAATAAGTGGGCAATGGCAGCATGTGATTAAGGCTAAGTCCCCTAATGGGAAGATCCATCTCTTTGATGTGGGTGAGGCTCCTCTTGGCCATGTTAAGCTTGAGGGTCTTGTGCAGGTCCCTGACCTCCTACACAGACTTGAGCAGGACCCCAGGAGTGGCCGCAGGGCCAGTGACTATCTGAGGAGAAAAGACAAGACCCACGCACGCACAGGACAGGTGGGAGCCAAGAGCTGGCTGCTGGTTCCATGGAGGACCAGAGAGCAGCGGGACTGGAGAAGCCCGAACTGCCCGCTGCCCGGGTGCCAGCCGCTGCCCCCTGAGTGGCCCCTGTGAGGCTGCTCACATAAGTAGAGGACTTGGTGGGTTGCAGCCCACCCCGGCCCTTTCTCGGCTTCTGGCTGAGCAGCTCTGAATCAGAGCTTGTGTGTGGAGTTTGGTACAAGCTCACGGTGCAGTTATTAGCAAATCCAAAAAAGCAGATATCAAACAGACCGCACTCTGACCACAGCGTATTAAGTGACAGACCATCCGCAATGACAAAAAGCAAAAGCAAACTAACAAATACGTGTGTACATGGCTTGTGAATTAAAAATGAAAGCAGAACAAGCTACAAAATATTTACCCCAGAACAAAAATGAAAACGTAGACCCATAATCTGCAGTGCACGATTCTGAAATCTTAAAGATTCTGAAAGCTGAGACTTTGGTTCGTGACTCATTCAGTGGTGGAACCTGACTCGTGCAAAGAAGAAGGAAACCAGGGGATAAAGCACAAGTGAGGAATAACTATCAGCAGCACCATCACAAAAGACATCATTTGCAAAGGTAGACAAGTGAATGACTTTCTAACCACCCCAGACGCATTTGACTGTTTGATCCTCTGCAAACGGAACAAAAACACACACCGGAGGAGAGATAGCTTCTAACAAATGGTGCTGGACGTGCAAACAGGGTCTAGACCCGTACCTCTCACCAGGGACTAAAATTAAAATGGTCAAAGATACAAATCGAAAAACAGAAACAATCCGCTGGGTAAAACTCTTGAAGTCCCAGGCCTTGGCAAAGACTGTCAGATCCCTACTAGCGCAAGAAATAGCACCGAAAACCAACAAGTGGGATCTATCAAGTTTAAAAGTTTTGCACTTCAAAGGAAACAACCACCAGAGCGAGGAAACAACCTACAGAATGGGAACAGGTTTTTGCCGGCCATTCACTGGACAGAGGACACATACCTAGAATAAGAAAATAACTCAAAAAAATTAGACCCCCCAAAACCAAAAGACCCAGTCAAGGAAAAAAAAAAGGGCAACTGAAATGAATAGACACTTCTCAGAAGAAGTACAGGTGGCCAATAAATACATGAAAAAATGTTCAACACTGCGGCCATTGGAGAAATACAGATTAAAACAACGCCTCAGTGGTGCTGGAGAAAGAACGGCCATCACCGAGAAATCAAATAATAAGACGTGCTGGAGAGGCTGCGGGGAAAAGGGAACCCTTCTCCACTGTTGGTGGGACTGTGAACTGGTGCAGCCATACTAGGGGGGTCAGTAAGGAGATTCCTCAAACAACAAAACAAGAGGGCTGCGGTTTTAGCTCAGTGGTTCCACCACCTGCTTTGCAGGCACAAGGTCCTGAGTTCAATCCCTGGTACCAAAAACTAAAAAACAGAAATTTCACTTGACCCAGTTAGTCCCTTTCTAGGTACCTTCCCAAACTAGGTGAAGACTTTGCATTACAGCGATCCAGTCACATCCATGTTTGTAACAGCGCAATTTCAAACAGCTAAATTTTGGAAACAGCTTTTATGTCCGTCACCAGATGAACAGATAAGAAGCAGTGGCCTTTACACACAATGGAGTATTACTCTGCCAATTTTGGTAAAACCCAGAGCTGAGAGCAACCCAGGATCTGTATGTTTTGGCTCACGCTGCTTCCTCTTTTTCATCGTAGATATTTTTTTGTTTTTGTTTTTTATTGTTTGGTCGTCTGCTGACCTCGATCCACATCCTACACGGGCCAGCCTGGCCCACCCCATTTCGGGCTGGGTTTGACGCTTCATTTTCTTAAGACTGCCACAGCCACGGCCAAGAGTGTCTGTCCTCCTTCTTGTAGTTTTGCAGCGCTCAGACTTGAAGGAAAGTCATTTTCGACACTCCAGGCGCAGTGCGTTCGCTCCTTTTCCGCTTCGACCGCTTTGCGGATCTACTTGGGCCGGGACGAGGAGCGCAGCTTTCTTTCCCCGCGGCTGTGCACAGCCCTCCCTCCTCTGCTCCTCCTTCCCTTCCTCCTCGAAGCCTGAGCACTCTGATTCGAAGCGGCCGTGGTTTCAGGCTCCCCTGCTTTGAGGTGAATGAAAACACTTAATTAGAGCGGTGGAGTCTGAGGCCGGACTCTGGCAGAACACGCGGAGAAGGCGGCCCTCTGGCCTCTCACTTCCACCTCTGGGCCTCAGGGGCGCTTAAACTGCCGCAGGGGTCTCGTGACATCTCGGTCCTGCAGACGATTCATTTCCATTTACTTTCTCCGTTGCTCTGCTCTTTGACCTGGACAAGCACCATTTTCCATCGTGGTGGCTTCAAGCAGGGAGCTTTGCGTTTCCGACTTGTCCCCGCCCGTGGAGACATTGGCTGTGGCGCCTTACCCCGTGGAGCCTCAGTTTCCCCAAAAGCAGACTGGGAGGGCGGGGCTGCACCTGTGGAATCGGGACGTTTGCCGCTTTCATTATGACAACGGAAGTGAGGTAGAGACGCGTGAGGCCACAGCTGGGCCTGGCTCGCCAATCAGAGGGGGTTTGGAATTTTGAATTGTTTTCGAGGTCTCCCTAAGAGCGGCTCTTGTCTGCGTGGGAGCACAGGGGATAGAGTCACCGAGAGGGTTCTGGGTCAGAGGGTCTGGGGGCGCGGGGAGCTGCAGGGCCCAAAACTGCACTGCTGACAGCGTGGTGCTGTCTGGGGGACTCCCGGGTTGGAACTCCGAGACTGGCTGCTCACTTCAACCCCTCGGACCTGGAGAAGGTCACCTGTGCTCGATCCCCAGACCACCTGCGCAGGCCCAGGTGTTGGCTCCACTTCCTGGCTGGGCCCCCCAGCTGCTTTCAGGGCACCGGCTGAGCCCAGGGGATTTCAGCCTCTTGGCCTTGCAGCCTCAGCTTGTGGGGCAGGAAACAGAAAACTTATCCAGGAGAGGCGTGGGGTGAGAGGGTGGAGAGATAAGAGGAGACCCCGACTCTCCAGGCTCCCATCTACCAGCTCCCCAGTTTTGAGGCTGTTTTCTGCTTCTATCTGCAAAGTCTACCAAGACCCTTATGTCTTTAAAACCAGTTCTTCCTTTGGCTGAAGCCGGTGATTTTCAAGTGCTGACGTGCTCCCCTGGTCAATGCCCCCCCACCGGGGGCTGTGTGCCCCACCCTCCAGGACATCTGGGCTGCAACGCTGCAGGGGCCCCGGAATCTGCTTTCCTGACAGGTCCCTGGAAAGCTGAAAAAATGCCTTCTTACAAGGGAGCCTCCTCCTATTGCTGCTCATGTAAGAGGCTTGAGAATCCACTGAGATTTGCTCTGTCCCCGCTGCAACGGTTTGGGGGACCAGGGTGTTGCAATCCCGTCTTACAGATGAGAGTTTCAGTAAGAGCACAGTGTTCCCGCCTGAAGAAGGCACAGCTTGGGGCTGAGCCCAAGGCCGCAAGGCTTGGAAGCTCCCGTCCTCAACTTGTGCCCAGTGTCACTTCCGGTCCGCCTCCTCTGGACCCCTGGCCCTCTCTGCACCCCGCCCTCGGCCTCCTCCGTGAGCTTTGCTTTCTTCTTACTGCATTTTGTGTCTCTGAGTCACTGTTCTTCCAGGCTCCACTGCACAAGCTTCGAGGTCCACTGCGGGGGCTCCACTGTCCCCACCTCTCCCAGGCCCCACAGTGCCTGCAGCCCCCTCCGTATCCTGCAGATGCTGCGATGCTGAACTAGGAAGAAAAAGGGAAAAGGTTCAGCCCCTGGTGGGCAGTGCAGACGGCTCCGGGGCACAGGGAGGGAAGAGAAGGAACCGGGAGCCAGAGTGGGGGGCAGCTCCCAGCAGTCTTAGGGCCTCTGCCCCCCGTGGGAGCCCTGGCGCTGCCTGGGCTGCAGTTTTGCAGAACGAGGCAGTGCGCGAGAGCGGCCTGAGGCGGCGCCACTGGGCGACCCCTCTCCTCCGCGGACCTGGTTCCCAAAGAAGCTGGCTGCTGAATGGAGAGTCCAGGGGTGAAGCTCAGGGTCCCCGCCCTATGACCTTGGTGCTTGGCTGTGGCCCAGCCTTCTGGAGCCCACAGGCAACCTCAGGGTGATAGTTTAGAGGTCACAGAGGCGCGGGAGCTCTTGGTGACCCTCCATTGAGGCTGGGCCGGGGCTCAGTTTCATGGAGACTGGGCAGGTGGGGACCTTCAGTGGGTCCCCGGGAGTGGCAGCGCCTGTGACCACGGCCGGTGTCCGTGCTGATCCTGGGTGTGGTGATTGATTGTCGGGGCCACCTAGAAGCGCCAGGCTGCGGCTGTAGCCTTGGACTTGGGGCTGACGAGGGTTTGGAAAGAAGAGGAAGGGTGGGGGGTGGCGTGGGGGAGCCGGGCAGCAGGACACACCCAGGGAGGGGAAGACGAAGCCACATCTTGGCTGTCCCAGGCCGCTTACCTCTTCCCAACCAGTGTCTCCCATGCACCCCCATTGTCTCGAGCCCCAGGAAGAGCGAGACTGGGCAGGGCTGAGCCCGAATTTCTCACTGATCAGAGATGCCACTTAGTTCCTCAGTGTTTTTGTTTGGGAAAAGGTTCAGGGAGACTTCCGAATAGAGAGGGGCTGAGCAGAACCCTTCAGTAAGCAGATGAGGATGTGGAGGAGAGGAGTGGGTGCCAGAGAGGCAGAGGCAGGCTCTGAATGCAGCCTGGAGGGACCCCACCCCCACCCTTGGGGCTCTGAGCTCCCTGGCAGCCAATGCAACAAGGAAACACAGTTGGCTCTGATTCTCAGGACCCCAGAAATCAGGAAAGCAGGTTTCCAGCAGACGCAGCTGTTCTTGGTCCTGGATTCCAGGCGGAGCTCTGCTCCGAGAAGAGGAGGAAGGGAGGAAGCCCACCCGATGTGTCTCACATGAGGCGGCGACTGCATCCTGGGAGCTGCGGGGCTGGCGTCACAGGCTCCTTGACTCGGGCCGGGCCGGCTCCAGGGCTCCGGGGAGCCACTGAGCGCGCCCCAGTCCTCCCTAGCGGGGCTAAGCTAGGAGTGGAGAAGCAGAGCAAGCGCAGCAGTGTATCCAGGAGCAGTTTCTGGGTTTCTGAGGAGCGCACATTTATTACAGGAATGAGTGTCCGCAGGACGGGCACAGAGACGTGGTGTCTCTGAGGCCCAGGCGACACGGCGGTGAGCGGGAGCCGCCCCGCGCGGAGGCACAGGACGTCACGGCCCTCAGTTCCCTTCTCCTTGGTCAGAGGATCATCTCGCGGCCCTGCTCCCAGAACCTGTGCTGCACAGAGCTTCCCGATTCTTCAGCCTCAGCTGACCGTGTGGCCACCCGCGGTCTTCTGCCTGGCTTTCCAAAACGTGGCTGCTTCCAGGGAGAGTTTTAAATACAGCGCTCCTCCAAGACGGCCCGCAGCACCGTCATGAGGTGCAGGACGGGCGGGAGAGAGCCCCAGGTAGCCGAGGGCTCGGGGCCACACTGCACACCTGGGGGTCATCTCCCGCAGCACCCCGAGAGCATGGGGCGCTGGCTCTGCCTCTCTTCTGGTGAGTGTGTCTGGATCTGAGGTCCCCAAGGCCGAAATAAGGAATCTGTAAGAGTAAGCTTGCAAGTTCCCACCTCCTGTCGCAGAAAAAGACTTCAGGAGGTGTCAGTAAACCAAGAAGGGTCACTGGACGGTAAGACTGGAGCGTGCAGACAAATGAGAGGCCTGGGCTGCAGCTGGGTGAGTTTAAGGGGCGTCTGCAAGAAGAGTGATCCATGCCAGGCCTGGTGGCACACGCCTGTAATTCCAGCATTTGGGAGGCTGAGGCAGGAGGGTTCACTGTGAGTTTGAAGAACGGCTGGGCTACATAGTGAGACTCTGTCTCAAAAACAAACAAACAACAAACAAAGAAGATGGTCAGTCAGGATGAGAGTCCGCAGTCTGCCTGGTTACACTGCATCTACTCAGCTGTTTGCAGCTGGAATCTACTCCCCTCAAATGTTGCTGCTTTCTAGGGGGTGGAGGAAGCATGAGTGACAGGTGAAAAGCGCAGGCCCGGAGCCCCAGTCCATAGGCTTACTGTGTCTTTAAGACCTTGAAGACTTTTTTTTTTTTTAAAATGAGTTTCTTAGAAGGGAAAAGAGCTTGAAAAACTCTTATGTGGTGAAGCTGCAGTTAAGTGCAATTTTAAAATCTCTATTTCCTTGTCTCCTTCCTACCCAGGTTTTGTCTCTTCCGTTCTACCTCAGTGGGACTTGACATTTTCCTTTTAGGGTGTCCCTGGCAGCAAAAGTAATGCACCGCACCTTGGCGGAGAGGAAGGGTGTGACTGGCCCCTGAGCACACATTTCCCGGAAGGAAGTCCTGTGACCTGGGCCAACACCCCGCCCGGCGGCCCCACTCTCTCCAACATGTGGTTCTGACCCGGGATCTGGGGTGGGGCCGGCCTTCCCTCCTAACGGGCTAAGATCCCTGTGCCCTGTGTGCCCACCCCAGAAAAGGGCCAACTGCCCACTTCTCCAGAGAGTCACGGGGATGGGGCCCGGGTGTGACAATGGGAAACACCTTAGCCACCTGGGCCGCTGGCTGCCTCAG